CATATATTAGTTAAACATTTAAGGATCAGCTTATCCACAAGACATTTATTATTTCAATGTATATAGCTGCCCTTCTCAACTATGTGATTCTGAGCAGCTCAGAGCAATTTAAAAAAAGTATAAAAAAGCAAAATGCAAAACCCGCTAAGTATTCGAAGTTTTAAAAAATCCATCCAACACAATCCACAACTGAGATGTATGAAAACCCATTAAAAATAATCAACACATTGTTTAGCTTTACCACAAATCCAGGTTCTAATGCCTGATGACAAAACCAAGCTTTAAGACAACCAAAAGAGGGATATCAAAAGAAAAAAGAAAAGAAAGAAAACCTCCACACTATAACCTAGAACTGAGGAGACGATGCTAATGGGAAGTACCAGACAATCCTGTAACCTGTTGGGTCATCCTTTGAGAGAAAGGTAGTGTACTTTGATGGGACCAGACCGAACATTACACTTTAGGTTAACCATACAAATTTTTTAATCTCAGTGCTGGATGCTCCATGATCATTTACAAAAAGTATGAATCATAAATAGAAAAACAATTGCAGTGGAAAGTAAATTTCAATAATAAATCAATATTTACTTTCTTAAAGAAATAAGAAATAGAATAACCACAAGCAGGAGGGAAAAACAGTAGAAGCAGGAACAACTTTTGACTTCCTGACAGGTTCCCCAATGATTTTCCTTATGGAAATTGGCAGAAATCATTGGGATGCTGCAATGGCCACAACTTTCAAACAAAATTGGTCTGAATATAGTGGAAATTACAAGTCCACAGGAATAATGGATCCTGATATATATTTTTTAAGTTAGCAGATTTTAGTTACATTGATTCAAAACACATGAGAGTTTTAATTGTCTATAGATGTGAAATGTCTGATAGAATTATGAAGTTGATTGCTACAAAAACATGTGGAAAGATATTGTATAATATGCAAAGACATAATTACTAAGAATATAGTCAGAGAGAGTAAGCAACAGATAAGATTAAAAGAGGCAGTAAAAATGCAAAACAATTTTGTTTTAGAAGTTGGTGAAATGGACTAAATAAGGCACTGCCAGCAGAGAGAAATGCTAAAAACTCATATTATAAAAGAATACCAAACAACTGTAAGGCTGCAAGTAAACATGATGAAAATGAAGAAAGATGGATGTTATTTTCTTATACAGGGAGGAAATTTTGTAGAAAGTTTATACTAAATGCATATTGAAACAAATGAAAACAATTGTATACTTCCACCTAAAAGGAAGCTTATAAACTTAAACAAGGAAAAGGATCACCTACATCAAAAGAAAAAAGACAACTGACTACAGAAGGAGTACATTACTGAAAAGAGTGGTAAAAATGAATGGATGCTGAATGAATATGAACTGAATACAGTATTGAATATCCAGTATGGAAAGAAATATATTGAGGTAGTTTGATCATAGAGATAAATAAGGAATTAAGGAAGACTGAATGATAAAACGAAGGGAAAGATTCACAAGATTAGGTAAATCAGATGAGGGGGGGAGTTGTTCTTTAAACAAGGATGATTTGCCAAGATACAAAGGTATGGAGAAATTATAGTTCTTTCTTTTTTTAATCTCATGTCTTTTTAATTACTTTGGTATGTCATTTCTTGCTCTGTTCCTCTTCTCTGCATAACATATTCTAATTGGGAATACTATGATAGGATGTATGGATGAAAGTTCAATACACACATAAGTATTCCACATACTAAGAAAAAAATATTGTCCAATGCTTCACATACTGGAAACATTTTTATTTCTGATTAGAAATGCTACTGGATATAATTTATTTAAATATGTTTACTTAATTATTGTTTACAGAGCAACCTCAATCCAAAAGAAGGAGGCAATAACAAGCAGTTTTTTATTATCCCATATAAAACTGTATTGGTATGGTTGAAGTTACTGTAGTGGGCTGTCAGAATATAAACTCAATGTGAGGAACATACTTAATATACTTCTTGTATGAAAAAGAACCTGAAGATTTACATTAAAAGTATAAGACACTGAAAAATAAAGCAGGAAAAACTCCCAAATGCTAAAAGTGACCAGATGGAAAATGAAAGTTTTGGGCAGTAAGACTATTTAAGTAATGAATAAAAGCAGATTTTCAGAATCAAGCAGGAAGGGATTAAATCAATGACAACAAAAAGTGGGGGGAAAGATCAGAAAAACCACCGGCAATGGACAATTAAAGTAGGGCATTTAAGAGTAAACATGGAAGAGATCTAACAGAGCCAAACAAGTTTAAAAGAAAAATGGAAGACTATACCCAAATCCTGTACAAACAGCACTGCAAAGTCTTTTTACATTTGTAAAAAAAGACTATGTTCAGGAATCAACTCATGCAAAGAAAGATTGGTTAATAACTTTTTAAAGAAGAATATACAATTACTATGCATGCAGACAAGTGCCAAATGAACAGAAAAGTTTCAGAAAAGGCAGAGGGAAATAAGAGACTGACATTATTTAACTTTCTTATTGTAGAGAAGCATATAAATGCACAGATACTTTCTAACTGAAGTAGCATTATAAGCTCTAATAACAAACTAGGGTTAATGGAGAGGATAAAATAATTTCAGGAGGTTCACCTTGGCTTCACTGACTGGAGTCAGGCCTTTTAACTGTCCAGATTATGCTAGAAAATGAATGTGATAAGGCTAATGAAAATGACAGAACACCTCATTATTTTTCAGAAGTACAGTGAAACAAGCAAGATGCTACAGTACTGTAAAAAGGAAATCTGGAGAAACAGTGGTTTTCACCGTTTATCAATATGAAATATTCAGGCAATATTAGCTGAATGTAAAGAAGAGTTATGTGAAAGAGCTCAGCATAGCACAGTGTGAAACAAAAATGGAAACTGAAAAACCCATGTTAATATTAAAAAGCCAAAAGTAATGTCAACTATCATGCTCAGTGAACTCACAGTTGACAGTGAAGAAGTGAAGACAATATAGATGGTTTTGTTTTCTTCATCCCCGAAGAGATAAAATTGAATAGTGTCCTGGACAAGAGAGTAAATCTGGAGAAGAAGGCAATGGTAAACTTAGACAAATATATAAAGGATATGGATGTTCTGATGAAAACAAACATTGGAATAGTTATAGTAGAAGCTTGTCTAGTGTTAAAAGATAGCTGTGAAAACTGAAGATAAAAGAACCAGAAAAAAAAAAAGTGTGTACTTCTCTGAATCATGATCTAGAGAAACATCACTGCAAGTGCTGTGGATTGTAAGGAGAATCGATAAACAGATCCTGGGCCAAAAAAAGACTGACTACTCCCACAAATGGATGATCAGAACAGACAGTCCTATACTTTGGGCATATGTACAAGAAGATAAAGGACTGGAATATCTACTATATTTTGCAACATTAAAGGAGATAAATGGGGAAGGAAATGTATAATTGGGGCAAATGCCAAGGTTGGCTGGGGAATTCTGAGTCCTAGAAAACAGGCAAACCATTTCCAAAAAAATATTGCCAAGAAAATTATTTCTCCAGGCAGTTGATAGAATTCAAGAACTAAAAACAGCAAAAATGAGGTGGGGTGTGTAAAGGAATATAACCTTTAAATTTCTGACCTGTGAGCCAGGACACATCAGCAAGATATTTTCACTAACAATATATTATTATTTGAAGCATATCCAAAACAGAGCTCTTTGTTACCTGAATAATTTTTCACCTGGAACAGGTCAATCTGAGTGGCAATACGTGCATTTCCAAACATGTGCACTGTATTCTAAAACAGGACGATGGTCTTATTGTTAATGGACATCCTGTTCTGGAAGGCATGTTCTCAGAAAAATGCATGCACCACCCACAAACCTGGAGTATTTTGGAACATCCCACTCCTGGGGAAAACTCTGAACTAGTCGTCTTCATGCAGCTTCTTCCTCTTCACTTTCATCCTAATCTCTCAATTTCTTTAAGAAACTAAAGAAATGTAAGAAATTAAAGAAATGGCCTGAAAGCGCTGGGCGAACATCAACTCCCAATTAGCGCGGGCTATTGCAAAACTAGATCGAAACAAGCGGTGTTTAAAAATAGGGTTTGGGTTAGAGTTCAAGACGAAGTAGCTTGCAAACGGAAAGCTTACCGCCACTCGGAAAATCAAAAAGCACGTTATCTCGCCTCGCTAAACCGCGTAGACGCGCAAAACTTTCAAAGTTAGCCAGTAACCAATTCAACCGATTTCTCCACGTTCAACTTTTCTTCTCCGGCAGACCCGAATGTCCCCCTCGGACCCTTCTGCTGAAGCCCGCGTCATGAAACACGCCTTTTTAAACATTAAACACGTCTCTAAACCCATGCAAAGGCCACGGGTGCCATCCCGTAAACGGACCATTCCCCGGGAACTTCAAAGCTCGTCCTCCACCTCCTCCAGCCTTTTTACTCTGAAGTTCCTCCTCTCTCGTCCAGCGTTGGAAGTTCAGACTGGGCTCCTCTCGAAGAAAGGGAGAATCACTGAGGAGGTGTTTTGCTTTGTTTTGTTAACCCGGCCTCGTCTCCTTGTCACCCGCCCGGACAACCCAGCCGAGAGCCCCCGCAAACCCTCCCCCGTCGAGGACAGAGAGAGAGAGAGAGGCAAAGGGGCTGCAGCCGCCTCCGCCTCCTCAAGGCGAAAAAAAAAAAAAGGCAGCCGCGGGGCGAGACGGCGCCGTCCCCGCGTCCCTTCGGCGAGGCCTCCTTTCACTCACATGTGCGGGTTGCGCTTGAAGGCGCTGTTGATGTCCTTCACCACCCGCTGCACCAGCACGGCCACCTCCTCCGGGGACTCGGCCATCTTCGGGCTGCTGCCACCGTAGCTTACGACCGCTAGCAGCGCCCTCGCTGCTGCTCCGGCCGCCGTCCCGCATAGGAAGGCCGAGGAAAAAGCAAAGCGCATCCGGGTCAGAGGCCTCGGCGAGGCGGAGCGCGGCGAAACCGTCGAGGAAGGACCGCCTTCTCCTTTCGCCGGGGGGCTGGGCGGGCAAGGAAGGGGGGGGGGGGGGAAATGATTTTGGGTGTGAGAGGGAAGGATGCTCTGAAGCAGGGGTCTCCAACCTTGGCCGCTTTAAGACTTGTGGACTTCAATTCCCAGAATTCCTCAGCCAGCTTTGCTGGCTGAGGAATTCTGGGAGTTGAAGTCCACAAGTCTTAAAGAGGCCAAGGTTGGAGACCCCTGCTCTGAAGGGTCGGTGGCGGGTTCTCAAGCAGGGGAACGATTCCTCCCGCCATCCCGCTTTCCTTCCAGGCCTCCCTGCCCCGCTATACTTTCTCCACGGAGTTGCTTGAGGGTGGTGGGGAATCCTCCAGATATTTTTAAGTTAGTTATTCGTTTTTTAAAAGTCATGGATTGCAGTTTTTAATCAAGTATAAAACAAATAATTCCCTCAACACTGCGAAACTATTTACTAAGTCTGCATTACTATTACTATTAATCCTCCCATCCTTCTTTTCACCTATCTCCTCCCACTTACAACTGTAACTTTGTTGCTTGTATCCTAATGATCTATATTGACTGTTTCCTACTATGATTTGATATTTGTACCCTATGACTATTATTAAGTGTACCTTATGATTCTTCTCACTTGGGACTTTCAATAAGAGGTTGGACTGCCATATGTCAGAAATGGTGTAGGCCTCCCACTTGGGCAGTGGGGGGATTGGACTAGATGACCTACAAGGTCTCTTCCAACTCTGATTATCTGTTATCTGAATGTATCTTGTCTTTTATGTACACTAAGAGTATTTGCACCAAGACAAATTCCTTGTGTGTCCAATCACACTTGGCCAATAAAGAATTCTTTCTTTTCTATCTATCTATCCAGGGGTGGGATTCAAATGTTTTAACAACAGGTTCTGTGGGTGTGGCTTAGTTGGTGGGCATGGCTTGGTGGTCATGTTATTGGCTGGGCGTGGCCAACTCAATATCCCTCACATCGAGGCATGCATCTCCTCTCCTGGCCTCTCATGACTGTGAGGATGCTGCAACAGTTGTAAGTGTGAAAAATGGTCATAAATCACTTTTTTCAGTGCCATTGTAACTTTGAATGGTCACTCCACATAAGCAAAGTACCAGCAAAGAAAGGCGAAAATGCTCCAGAGAAGTTCCTGAGACAGGAAGTCTAGTCCTGCCAAGAATGTAATAAGGGTTAATGGAGAGGCAGTTTCTGTAAGCAACACCAGAATATTTCCTTCCTGCCTTCCTTACAGGATTAGGCCAGTAATTTCTTCTAACAACCGGTTCTCCGAACTGCTTAGAATGTTAACAGGTTCTAGCGAATAGATGCAAACTGGTAGAATCCTGTCTGTCTGTCTGTCTGTCTGTCTCTATCTATCTATCTATCTATCTATCTATCTATCTATCTATCTATCT